CATGGGATGTGGATTGGATATGGGGGTTGGGATGTGGAAGCGCTGTTCGTCTTGAGTAGAGTGTCATGTGTGTGCGCGATGTAGTGCGGAAAGAGATGCGTGACTATACAGAACACATGGATGAGAAAAATGCAAGCCTAAGTCAGTATCACATATGTGCCAGTGTATATTATTGTTAATGCAGTTAGTATTTACCTAAAGATGACGTTATGTATTCAAAAATCGGCGTTATATTATGCTATTCCAGTGGTCGGGTGTTTACTGTAGTGGATTATCAACGTCACGTGTGCACCATTAGGGCTTCACCCCACAATCGTGTAGTGGAAGGGAGGCTGTGTATATGGAAGCTGGATAGTTCATCCATCGTGAAGCTGAGGGACGTAGGATCTGCAGGCAGATGTATTCAGAGGGAGACTGTACCAGTCACAGGCACGCGATTCCGCGCGTATTCTTGAATTGCCTGAGCGGTATGGGGAGATCGCCACTCTCGCGTGTTTCACAAATATTCCTTGTTTCTTGCGCACGTTTTAATTTGTTTTAATGTGTTAAAATTTTGTTATTTCTCAAGATTATGTTAGTTATCTTTAGTTTGTTATTTTCAATAAGTTGTGTTCATTATTATTTTAATATGTTTGATTGACGCTTATGGAGGTCTCAGTTGTGAAATTTTCTGTGCCGTTCGTAGTGTGCAAAAATATGCCACAAGAGACGAGAGAGAGAGAGAGATCGGTCGCGGCTTACCTGAGATAGAGAGAGAGACGATGAGACTGCAGAGAGAAAGAAAGAAAGAAAGAGGGGGGTGAGAGGGGAATCAGTTGGTACTATCCATGTTGCACAGGTGATAAATTTTGGGTTGGAATGATAGCTTTGGTGTCTGTTGTCGTGGATTAGTCTGTACTGTAGTGGTGATTACAGATTTCACATTTAGGAGCACTAGATTTAGCATTTGGGAGAATCTGAAGCTCTGGCTTTTGGTATCATGGGTTTGGGATTCCTGCGCAGAGGTTAATGCAGCACTGTCGTTCTGATTGGCTACGTTAGAATGAAACAACGTACAGATGAAATAGCAAATTGTATATATATATTGATGTAAAATTCGGTATCTATAAAAGAAAAAAATTGCTACAAAAAAAAGATTATTTGAAAATTCTCTAAAACTGCTTCTCTTATTATATTTAAGTTTTACAGGTGTCTTCCACATAATAGTACATTATTACAGGTGCTACTATGTAGAGGTGTTAGTTATGCTATGCTGTATGACTTTAGCTACGTTTAAGTTCTATATGCGGTAGTAATGAATAGTTAGTAATATATATAGTAATAATATAAAATAGCAAGTAATATATATATATATATATATATAATATATATATATATATCAAGGTAGAAATATTTTTGAACACGGGAGTCCAGCGGGACTCCTACCCCTCAAAAAAGAGGGCAGTCCGCCTAGCAAAATGGATGGTGTCCGACACAAAGTCTGAAGTTCAAAATTAATTGCTCATTAATTGCTGAGTCCGCAGTCCGAAGTTACCATTAATATAAAGATATTAATCATAACGCATGTGCTTATTTTGAAGATTCGTTAAAAGTTAAATTTCGCACCATGTATATATTTATATGTATCACATGATTCACATGGCATTGATGTCTGTCATCACAGGCCCATTAGGGTAACTCGACACAGCGGCCAGGGAAGCTATGCACAAGCGGGGAGAAGCGCTGGATACTCCTCTGTTTTATCTGCTTCTTCGTCATTGCTTCTCTCATGGCATACATCATCGTCGGACACAGGAATGCCTCAGCTCAGCCTGCCAGTCTGGTACATACAGGTTAAGTTATCGACAAAAAACAGTAGTAATCGAGGGCTGAAGCATGCGAGCATCTGTCGTTGATGACAGTTGCATCAGTGGGAAGTACTGACGTTTGCTAAATTGAGCTGTCTTAGAACACTTTCCTTTTGAATTACATACACCCGTACAATCATGTAGTCCTTGTAGCGTCGATGTATGGAACCAACAAAGATGAGCACTTGTATTGGCAATACTATACGACTATGAAATTTTTGATTTAATATATATTGGGAAATTATTTCTGCCACATAGCATTTTCTGACAAAGACAATTTTTTAAACAAGCTTTAGATCATAGCTATGTGAACTAATTCTCAGTCGAACTCATCTAATAATGAGTTGAATGATAATGAGAGTTCGATAGCTACATACGATCAGCTTAACTCCCCTCCTACCGTCTAGTAAAGCCAAATGGTTTATTATTACACTTTCATTGCAGCCGACTGCCTGTCTGACTCCGCATTGTTTGAAGCTAAGTGCGACGGTTATAAGCAATATGAATCTGTCAGTGGATCCGTGCGTGGACTTCTTTGAGTATGCATGTGGAGAGTACTCACAGAACACAGACATACCCCCAGGCCACCCAACGTGGAGCTACTTTGATATTCAGGGTCATCAACTCAAGGTTGCAATTAAGCAGGTGAGCAGTTACTTGTGCAGCTGTGAGGAATTCTCCTGACGTTTTTTTATATTGTGCAGAATTTTAAGTCAGGAAAATATTATACCCGGACAGTATTCGATTTTGATGCACGCATTATGGAAGTGTAACTTACAAAGTACCCCTTCGACAATCACCCCCTCCCTCTCCCGAACAATCATCCACTGCTTCCAGAACATTCAGCCCCCAGTCTATCACCTCCCCTGGGCCCCCTATACCCTCCGGACAGTAACTCTCAGACAATTACCCACAGACAATCACCCTGCCCCCTGACAGTTTCCCCTCTTTTCCCCATGCAATCACCTTATGCCATTCAACCTCAGATAATTACTCACATGTAGTCATTTATTATTTGATTTTGATTGATTATCTTTTGATTGTTGGGATGAACCAAAATGTGAGTGTTCCTGGTGCGAAATCCATTGGAATTTTCATTTAAATTGACGAGTTACCGGTAGTATAGGAAAAAATTCAAAATTATTTTACATATTATAGAAATATCTCTTTTTTCGAAGGATATATTTAATATTTCTGCATATTTCACGTTGATGTTTTCACTACAAATTATGATGAATATGTATCAGAAAAATTCAATTGTATTATACATTTTTCTTACATTATACATTATACAACGTTCTTCAATAATATATCGAATATTATTATTCATTATTTTTGCATATTTTACATTAATGTTTTCTGTGCAAATGATGATGAATATATGTAAGAAAAATATCGAATCGTATTTTACATTTACATTTTGTTTTTAAAGAATTAAATTTCATGCATAATTCCATGTATAATTCCATGCATAATTAAAAATGATTAAAACTAAAATCATGGGGTAAACTGTCTGGTTTGTTTATATGTGCTTTTCATATGGTATGTAAGTGACCTATGAAACCAATCGAGGGACAGTTCAGTGTATATATATCTATCCTGTATTCCTACTCCAGTCTTAGTACAATGGATACGTACCCTGTAGAACCATTACAGTGATAGTACAGTGACTATATATACACCCTGTGGAACCACTCCAATGGTAGTACAGTGTATACACGCACTGTATATCTAGCCTTAACTGTCTTTCTTCAGTGCCTGTAATGAAGAAACGGTGCACCTTTGTGCACTCGAAAATAAATGGTGAGTATTATTTCCTTGCAGTTAATCGAAACGAGTGGAACAGAGTTCAAGGGTCAAAACTCATCGGCTCTCACGAAAGCAAAGATCTACTATGATACGTGCATGAATGTATCTTCTACAGAAAGTCAGGGTATCGATCCTGTACTAAAGGTAACTAACCTATACACCCGAGTCAGATAACCATAACCCCAGGCATATTGTTTATAGGTCGCTCGAGTTTCTATGTGTGGCACTTTGTTAATAAGAATTGTTTTTGTGATGTCCTATCACAACAGTGAGTGGCGAGAGTAGGCTGTCAACCAGTCTGAGCACACAGTCATTTATTACACACACGACAGGAAATTGTATTGTACCATAAACCCAGCGCTGCGTGCACGTATTTCCTGTATGTTATGCTAGTTATAATGTAAAGTTGTTTACAAAGGTGTATATGCTGCAATATACCTTCTGTGTTATAGTTGATTACAGATGTAGGTTCGTGTAGCATGATTAACGACAGCTGGGACCCAAGTACTTGGGACTTCTTGGATGTCTTCACGAAAATGCAGTGGCTGGGAGTTCAGCCACTTCTACATTGGAAAGTAGATGCCGATGACAAAGACAATAGTGTTAACATACTCCAGGTATTTGCCCAGTTATCACTTAGGCCTGTTTAATGCAGATTTATAAGTTATTATTTGATATCTGTTTCAGTGATACTGATTGCGCACCTTTATCGTCTAACTTCTTAGAATAAGATGTATGGTTTATTGACAAGTTTTTTTTTTCATTCACATGAGTTTTTTTTTCACAAACTAACCCATTTAATAATAAAATTTAAAAATGCTAAAGCTTTCCAAAAATTATCAATCATCTTTCACTGCATTGTAATATACTCTGTTTTAGTTATTGCTGTCTCAATCACAATATTACCAAAGGCAGTAGTTACTACCTGCTGTCTTTACCTTCTCGATGCTGTTACAGTCTTTATACCAACTTGGATTGGTAGTTTCATGCCAATCATTTTTCAATGTATCTACAGTTCCAGCAAGGTGGCTTATCACTCGATTCTGAGAAAAGGTACCTGTCAAACAGCACATTGAACCTACAAGTGCGTGATGCATGGATAACGATGATAACAAAGATTGGCATTTTGCTGGGAGGAAATGAAAAGACTATGCGAAAACAAGCACAAGAAGTTTTGGAGTTTGAAACAAAATTAGCTAAGGTGATTCCTTTGCATAAAATCTGATTCTCATTCGTTATCCATCAATCAAATTTAAGCATGTTCTAGGCTGCAATCATGATCTCTCACTCTCTGTGTCCCTTTATATGTGTAGGGGTGTGTGGGTGTCTCCCTCTACCCCTCTCTCTTGATGTCTATCGCCTTTCTGTCTCCTTTCTCTCTCTCTCTCTCTCTCTCTCTCTCTCTCTCCCTTTCTCGTAAACAGTTATGCATTATTGCCATTTTGTTATGATTTTGATGACAAACAAGGTAGTCTCTGTAGTAAATTGTTCTTGCATTCTTAATGACGTGTTTGATAATTCGCTGGGTATGTTTTTGCATTACCATCTCTCTGCTTATAGGTTTATATACCACTGGCAGATACCAAGGATCCCATGGCTATATACCACAAGATGCCTCTGAGTGAGCTGCAAGCAATGATGCCCAACACAAAGGTAGGCTATAGTGAACAAGAGCGATCTGCTGGAGAACAGATTCTATTTGAGACGTTTTCACACCTTAGTGTTAACGCACACACTCATATTGGAGTAGTAGTGAGAGATTCCACGACTTTCATTACATTTCAAATATTGACTAGAAAATTGGGCTAGGCAAATCCTATGATCTTACAAATATAAAGAATTTTTCTGGTTGTGACTGTGAATATCAATATTATAAGATTGTAGGGCCATTTTTGTGACACACATAATCTCAGTTATGGTGCATTGAACCAGGTTGTTTCCATCACAGACAGTTACGTAGATATGTTGTTTAGGTTTTAGTGTGGTTTTTGGAATGGAACGTTCACGGAAAGTTTCAGAAATAAGTGAAATATCAAAAGTGTGAACACCTCGAAATGGCTGCTGTTTTCGTAGCGCGCAGTGCATGTTGGGATGGCTCGCGGCACATTTTGAGAAAGCACGCGCTAATGACGTCACCGGGAGTTGTGTATTTATAAGGTGCATGAGCTGAGGCCTGCACAGCCAGAGAGGCTTTGAATTGTTTGGGAGACCACATACATAATAATCTACACATACATACCTGGCCAGTAACATCATCTATCAAATAGAATGGATACTGAATTTTTTTTTAATTTCACCTACAACCCTGACTGTTACACCAGCACGTATGGCTAGGCCTAACAATTTTACGAACACAGTATGCTCCGCAATTATTAATGATAATGAAGAACTACTTACTTATCTATATTATAAGGTCATAGGGCCGTTTTTGTGACCCGTATGTTCTCGGTTATGAAGCTTTCCATGCCGTTTCCATCACAGACAGTTACATGGATATGCTGTTCACGTTTGAGTGTTTTTAGTCATCTGACAATAGTTCAGATGCAGCTTGTAGGGAATCGCCATGATCGTCCGTGGTCCGTCGTCCAGGTAACAGTTGGGCACCAATCGTTAACCGCTCGAAGTACGGTCACGATATTCGGGCACCGTGGGGGGCGTAATCGAAAACGAGTCTGGCCGATCGTCGGAAGCTGCGGTGGGTCAAAGGTCAAAGGTCAAGAGGTTGTAAAAGGAAGGGGCAATTCACTCCTTACTTAAGGCTATAGGGAGAGAAATAGCAGAATTGCGGCACAAATCTAAAGCGGCTCGACCTAGGGCTCGTGATGAGTCGGTGTATAGCATCGATGGGGTAGGAAAATGCCCATCACTGTGCCGAAATTGGCGAGGCTCACAGGTCAAAGGTCAATCGGCACAGGGCAGATTTATTAGACATTTTCTGAGGACACTGAGCTCTGACGAGAAGGACTTGAAAAAATTTTTTGTTCAGCGGTGACCTAGGCATTTTTTATGGCATTAGTTGAAAGCGACCATGGAAATCCTACTTTCTGCTGAACATGCGAAGAGCTAAGAGTGGGTCAGCATAACCTTGTGGACCTCAAGCAGGAGGGGTTAAACATGATTTGTTGACTGATCTGTTAGAAGATTTTGGACTGCCGGCGTTGCTAGTTAGAATCTATACATGCCCTGGGATGTATGAGCCTACAATGTCACATGAATTTCAAAAGCTAAGATTTGGATTAAAGAAGGTTTATGCTCCTATAAAGATCGTAAATTTCTATTGATTCTGTACTGTCAGTATGTTACATGTAAGGTATGCACTGCCAGTGGGCTACTGCCAGCTGCGAGTGTTGGTGGACTGTGGAGTTTTTGCCCTGCCGTTAATTCGGTTACAGGTGGCAGCTCTTTATGCAGCCCTGTAGGCTTGCGTAGGTAAATGGCAGGGAGTGCTTACCTATGTTCTGTCGTTGCCAGCATAGTTGTTGCTAATCACGTATGATGCGGAAGTATCCATCTTTAATCTGAAGACACTTAAACGTACGCGCCACTCTCGTGGCAAACTTTCATAAACGATCCAACGAACATTCTTTTGAGAAGGTTCCTGTACCATTCCTGTGCCATTCACTGTTTCGGCGTGTATTGAACCATTTGGGAGTAACAGCGCGTTTACTAGAATCCCAACCACTCCACCACGAGTCACGCAAGACGTTGGAGGGCGATGAGCGCTGTCGTCTTGCCGGCACTTGTTTCGTAATGGTAGCGGATGGTTTACAAATTTACATCTAATGCTATCTGTCGCCACCATACACGCATTGACAGGGAAATGGATTCCCCTATTCCTCCTAAGTTGCCCTCATTGACTGCCGCCTAGATTACTATGTTACAGTAGGTGCTCATAGTGGGTCTATGCTCCGCCAGGGGTACTGCCAGACGCTACTGGCGTTACGGTCCGGCTGCTATCACCGGACACGTACCCTGGTCACTATTTGATATGGTTGCTAGGTTTAGGCATTGGGTTCAGGGTTAGGGTTAGGATTAGGGTCGATGGGTTTCGGGTTAGGGAGCTAGGCGTAGGAGACTCCTATGATCTCATTGGTGAGAGTAGGGGAGGTACGGTTCGGCATAATTAGATAGTACAGGGTATGTTCCGGTATATCGGACCGTACCCAGGGTACGTTCCGGCAGTACCCCGGGGGACATAGACCCTCTCGGCGTTAGTAGTGGTCTTCCTCTACTAACTATGCCTAGATCAATTACATCAATCCCTCCCCATTGGATGGGTACTTTGCTAGTTTTGTAGTAAAATTGGTTGTTTTTTGTTTTTATACCAGCTTCAGCTGAAACCATTTCTCAATAAGATATTCAGCAAGAGCAGTGTAACAGACAATGAAAACGTTGTTGTCTATATGCCGACTTTCTTCGGTAACTTCACCAGCATTCTCAATGCAACTGAGGACAGGTACAGCATTCAGCAATTAAAAAGCTTGCAAAATTTTGCTTTAATCATCAATACCTAGTTCTGTACAATGTGTATGCTAAAATTCTGACACTGTAAATTTTTTGATTGACCAGTAAATGCTGAGATTGTAAAACATGATATTTCTGTACATATATTTTTGTGTGCCTGCTCATTTTGAATTATATCATTGTTTCGTGTTGTTATTATAGGATACTGGCCAACTACATGATAGTACAATTACTACAATCAGTAGTGCCATACCTTCCTACTAGGTAATATACACTTCAATCTTCTTTCTTCTAAATTGAGAAATGGCAATCATTCGTTACTGCAGCGTGACATATAAACACAGTCAAGCGAGAGTAACAAGTCTGCGTATATATTATTAGGAGTATGATAAAAGAGTCTGTTATTTTACTCCTGATATGATTATCTATTGTTATCTTTATAATTATGCAATACAATAACTATAATCATACAATACGATAATTATACTACAATAATTGTCAACTGTGTATGTCCACCGGCAGGTTTGAAGATGCAGTACTTGAATTCAAGACGGTTGTATCCGGCGTGAGACCAGAACGCCTGCAATGGGAGAAGTGCTCCAGCCGTCTGCGCAGTACCTTCGGCTTTGTTGCGAGTGCCCTCTACGTAGACGCATACATGACCGAGAAAACGCACACCGAGGTTGATTGCATATGAATGCTTCTGCAAACTAGATTCGCCTTGCGGTGCGGGCTGGTCGAATGAAATGTGTGTGCCGGTCTTGTTTTGATTTCGAGCGAGATGGTACATGTATAGAATGTGAGGATAGTTTGAGAACAAACACATGAAGGTTCAAATGTCATGATTGTCAAATGAGAGTGATTTGCAACCCAGCTATAAGCCTGAACGTATAACTATAAACATCTACAATCAAACGTTTATGTGAGGATCAATCGCAGAAGTGACAAAAGTGTTCTTTAAGGGCACGTGACCATGCAGTAGAGTTTTATTGGACAGCTGCCACTAAAGGGAAATGTCTAAAGTGTCTTAGATTGACAGCTGTGCACTCACACAGCTTGGGCTGTATTATTACACAGTACATATATGCTTATGCTATAAGCACTTCCGCAGATCAGTGAGCTGATGGATCACATCAAGAAAGCATTTGTGATCGGCCTGCCACAGCTGGGCTGGATGGAAGATCAGACAATGCGCCTCGCTCTAAGCAAGGCTGCGAACATGTACTCTCAGATCGCATACCCTGACTGGATCCTTAAACCAGCCATGCTGGACGATCACTACGAAAAGGTGAGCTGGGTCAACATCTCGTGGTGTGAGCATAATCATAGAGTTCTAGGCGATTGGTGTCTTTAGATGAGGCTGAGAACCGTCATGAAATTTCATTTGTTGCTTCTCAGATTCTGCAACACTTGACGTGCTATAGTGAACAATTGTGTAATTTTATTAAACAAATTGATAACGGTGAGCTAGATTAATCGTCCTGCTAAAAATTACATTTGAAATTGGTTATGATCCATCACTGATGACCTTCAGTTTTCTGCGTTGTTTTAATCAGATGGTAAGCAGGGATACTCAATGACTACACATTGCTTAGTCTATCGTTCTTAATGTGTGCATAACTCTGTAGGTGAATGCCACCAAGGACGAGCCTCTTCATAATGCGCTCAGCGTAATGCGGTTTGCTGTGGATAGGATCATTGCTCGCCGGGGTCAGAAACCAGATAAGGATGAGTATGTACTGCACAAATACAATAGGATTTCATATAATGATGCCGATTGTCTCCACCAGAACAATCTAAATGTAGAAATTACATGTTAAAGTGACACCAGTATGGTATCGTACCACCATCATAATAGAAAAACACAAAGTCCTACAGGAATACCGAAGTAATACAAAATGTTGCAATGCAACCTCATCATTATACGAGATCCCGTCCCTGCATGTATTTTAGGTAGGATAGTGAAACCCAGTTAGGTGTTATGATGTGTATGGAGAGAGGGGAGCATGGAGTGTAGGGGAGGAGGAAGTGGAGAGTGGATGGTTGCTGCGTGAGCCTAGAGGGCAAATTGTCGAAATCGTCACAATGCTAGAATGGCCACGGGAGTAGGGAGAGAACGTGTAAGTCTTTCTACCTAAAATTAGAGCGGGTGTGGATGTGAACACATTGGATCTTTGTGTATGAATAAACTGTATGAGGAATCGAGTGATTCTGTAGGGATGTGATGATTACGCACAGCAAATTACATTATGATATATTATTTGCAGGTGGCAGATGGTGCCAGTGATTGTGAATGCATACTACGCGCCCAACTATAATCACATCACAATCCTCGGGGGCATTCTTTCCTACCCATTCTACGAGGAAGATTTTCCACGGGCGATGTACTATGGTGGCATGGGAATGGTGGCAGGACACGAGTTCACGCATGGGTTTGACAGCATGGGTAAGTCCTCCTCACCATGGTGAGTGACCTGTTACGGTTACCACAACTACCTTTCTCTTTCACGTTGAATTTATAAATGTGTAGCTAACTGTGATGTTAAAGTAATAGATGCATAACGACTTGCTTTTCTAAAGCTGTGTTGGCTCCTGTATGTATAATTTCACAACAATATTTTACAATATTGCGTTGTCCAAAAACGAAAATTTTTACTCGAATGTTTGACATATAATTATTAGTTTATGTTTATTTAATATTTAACTTCTGCAGTGGATGAGTGGAATAATTTACCACTATACGTTGGAAAAACCACTTTCGCTCCTTTGAAAGCACATTTAAAGAAAATCTTATTTTATCTTCATTTGTAGCTCCCTTTTTATTTCACTTGCCTGGTATAGTTCCAGTTTTGACAGGTGCATTTTGCCTTTTTGTTTATACGTTGTTTATTGTGTAAAGCCTGTACCAATTTATTGTGTCTGCACAACATGTAACCATCGTACCCAATGTAAACATGTAACAACATGTAACCAACATATAATTTTACTTAATGCACATACTATGGGTGGGTGACTGCTGTGGTTATTGAATGTGAAATGGCCTCGTACAGGATCACAGTTTGACCAGAATGGAAACATGAAAGATTGGTGGGAAAAGTCAACAAAGGAGAAGTTCAAGACGAAATCAAAGTGCATGAAAGAGCAATATGATCAATATAATATGACACTAGAAGACCATGTATACCAGGTAGCCACACATGTTTAATCATGTTAAAACCTTTACATTCTTGATGCCTGTTTTCAATGCTGGGCATCGAGGGTTCATTCCCTAATACAAATGTATGTAATCTAATAAATGTATTCTAGTTGTAATGTTGTACTCATTCCAACATTTTCACTCACAGTTTTGCTAGTGCTTACCAGTGTTGTCCGTAATTGTCAGTTTCATAAGTAATTGCCAGTGTTTCTAGTAATTGCCAATGTTGCTGATACTTGCTAGTACTTGCCAGTGTTGTTATTAATGGCTTTGTACTGCAGCTGGATGGCAAGCTGACGTTAGCAGAAAACATAGCAGACAATGGTGGTATTAAACTAGCATGGACAGCATACCAACGCTGGAGGCAGGGCCAGGGAAAGAACATGGCCGAACTCACACTACCTGGTCTAAACATGACCCATGATCAGATGTTCTTTCTGTCTGCAGCTCAGGTAACGTAAAGATAAATACTACTTCATCCACTACCTGTCGATATTCGTGCCTCATATTTGTCCGTGCGTATTAATGGAAGGGGTAACTGATAACGACTGATTTGAGTGTTAATAAGGTCATAATTTATCCAATCTAATTTCGAATAGCTGAGTGCTCAAGTAAAAACATCAGGATTTGCTAGTCAGAATCATGACTTCCATGTATCATGATGCTGACCTGCTCATAATCCATGCCTTTTGTGTATGGCCATCAGTGAATACCAAGGGGTGAGGTTCGGTGGTAACTGTTAGGCTTAGGTATAAGGTTGAACCTATGACCGCAATACTTGCCCACATCTTAACTGTGACCTTAATCCTAATCCTAATAGCGATTCTAGTTCTAAATTGACTCTTAACCGTTACCGAGTAGTGATCACTACGATGGTCCGCTCTTTGGCTAGCACATTCGTGTGAAATGTCGGCAAATAGCAGCTGTGTTCTTCCTTTCAGGTGTGGTGTCAGTATTCGGTGCCGCGAGCCGAGGTGCAGCGCATTCTCACCAACCCTCACAGCCCACACAAGTTCCGCGTGATCGGCTCTTTCACAAACACACCCGCGTTCTCTGAGGCATTTAGTTGCGCCCCCAATGCGCCAATGAACCCTTCTGGCAAGTGCCTGATATGGTGATTGTGGTGGCAAATACCTGATATGGCACTTGTGGCAGCAAGTGTTTGATATGGCGATTGTGCAGCAAGTGCCTGATCTGGCGATTGGTGTAGCATGGAGTGTCATATATGGTGATTGGCGGCCCAGTGCGATGGCCCGCCCCTAAATCAGCTGTGATAGACTGAGAACGTGCGTCAGAGGATGAAGAACTTCGTCATGGGATGCTGCACACAGATTACCTAACTGCACGTACTCTGTGGTATATATTGCCATGATTTGCCTAGGTTTTGGGATGGGAGGTGGGGGGGGAGGGGCGTGTGCGTGTGCGTGTGTGCACGGCTGCGTGTGCGTGTTTGCATGCTCACGTGCTCGTGCGACAGCCAGCATGTCGGTTTCAGAAATGCATACGTAATACCGTGCGCAGCTGAACGATGAAGTGTTGAACTAAGCTGGGATTCGAATTGCAGCGTAAGTTGCTGGACCGTGCAAGGTTTGTGAGTCACTATGAATCCAGACATTGATAATGGATACAAGAATTTGAGATGAAGTGAGAAATACACAGAGGATTATTATAGTTAACACCACAAGCGGTTTGCTAGTAAATTTCATCTGTTAGGTGAAGTGTGAAATAAAGCTACTGTAGTTGTCGAGCTACTAATCTCATATTTAACATGGCTCCAGGTTCAAAGTAGTTTTTAAAGATATCACGATAATATTTACACGTGTGGAGTTTAAAGATTTCAATTCTATTCTGTGAGAAACGATTGATATAAGCATATTGGCAGTTTAAAATTACAGTCATATAACTTTAGTGTCCGATTCTCATACTGTGATAATGTCGGGATGTAATAAGGGTGGGCTAACAGTTGACGATTGTAAACTGTAAAATCCATCTGCAGTCTATATACAGTTTGTGGTTGTAATTTGTGAAAACCACCGGTAGTCTAACAGTCAGTGGTTGTAATTTTTGAGGACTGAGAAATCTAGCAGAATCTGTCTGCGAATTGTAAGAACCATCCGCAGTTTAATAGTTGAGATGAGTGTGATATGGGCCCACTATTAATATTCATGAAATCTTAGTGACATTCCAGCTGTATACACGGCATGTAAAAACCTGTACTATTATAAATTAACTATACTATAGATTTTCCATATTTTTGAGAGCAGATGTCTATAACTTTTTTTCTAATATCCTTTACCCTTTACGCGTGCAGTGCAGTAAATCTTTGTTTGAAACCTGAATTTTAAAATTGTTGAAAACCCAGGACATTTTATATGAAATAAAATAAATTAAATTGCTAATCAAAATAGTGTGATGATTGCATAATTTATAAGTGGCTATAATTGGGTAGTAATTATTCCTAATACGGTAGTAGTCATATAACAGTAAATCGGTGGCTAGTGGCGGTAATAGTTAGGGTATAGGTAATCTGGAGGCTAGTGAAATAAGTTATGAACAATTTATAATGTCAATGTTCAAATTTATGAGTGACGGATATTAGAAAACCCTAAATATTAATCTAATTTAATGACATTCCAACCAGTTACTTGTTAGTTAACTGTAGGCCTAATGTGTTTTTCAGTCGTTCGCGACAAGGTATTGTCTGCAGTTTGTATTTCTAGAGTGTATAATAGGTTGACGCCATAAGTAGCTGCTCATGTCAATCTTCGTGGAAGCAGTCACAGGGAGTTATATATATATCTATATCTATATATATATATATATATATATATATATATATATATATTAATCTTATTATTGACTTTTGATTAAAGAGATTGAAAACATTCACTAGTTTTCGATGCAAGGTTAAACTTTAAGTAAAGTTAAGGTTATTAAGTTTTGTGTTATGGATTTTAGAGAGGTGTACATTTATAACAACGAACTATTTTCTATAGTTTTATTATTCTTTTCCCGCTAGACTGGTACGAAGGGTAAGGCTATGTATATGCAGTAATTATGGGATGTTTACTCACCTCGTTACATTTATATAGAATACCCTATACTTATATATAGAATTATATTTATATTGTTTTATATTGAGTCATTAAGTGACATATTGATATAATAGAAATTTCCTGCACATTTACAACATAATGCGGGAACACATTATTTGTTTTTGGTCTCTCACTGGTCGTCGAATCATTCCGTATGATCTCAAAGCTTATTTCTCTTTCTGAGCTTTGTTGCTGGGTGTCAGAACGAGTTTGCGATGTTACGCGCAAATTGACGGTTGCTTCTCAGTCTGTACATTTTGTTACTTATATAGAAGAACTTCGTATCTTGCTGTTCGCATCAGTCTGGCTGGGAGTAGCCAGGGGAACGTTTGCAGTCGGACTGTTGCATTGCTGCACTAAATAACGACATGCGCAATATTATATGACGTGCACTAGCCTGTGAATTTTATTTATTATTTTAAAATTCATTTCTAACTAATAAAATGGCAAGAAGCGGTTGAGGAAAGAACTTCCGTGTTTCTATTTTTTCACATGATTTCACTCTTCTCAGTTGAAACCAAAATCTGTAGCCGATAACGGTGCCAGTAGAACTCGTACGGTCGTACCATTTAATATAGAGTTGATAAAGTTATCTCCTCACAGAAATTACATTTAATTTCCGTGCGTAAATGATAGGCCTACTACTTTGTCTTCCTTGCCTACTATTGTAGCTAAGGTATTGATACATACACATAATTGTACTACTGTATTAAAAAGTAAAAGTATTAAATAGTATAAAAAGTAATAAAAGTATAATTAATAAAAGTATTAATAAGTAATCCGGATCCATCAGTCAGTAACACGTGGTTATCAGGTAGAAACATGTGTCCCTCAGTCAGTGACATTGCATCAGACACGAGTAATGGCATTAAACAGTAACACGTGTCCGCCCATCAGTCAACACAACGGGTACGGATTTATCAGGTACTAACATACGATTAATTTTGTCCGTGAACTGTTTTAGTCACAATGGGCGCTATTTACCGTGAACCCACTTATATTTTGGGGCAAATTTAAATCAGTATGTATACTAAACCGTTCTACATAAAATGCATGTACTTGCATCACCGAATATGTCAGTAGCACCCAGTAGGCCCCTATATCATCAAAATCCTACCCTATGAATATGCATCTAGACTTGTTAAAACAACCCAGTGATGTGACTTATTACAGATTTAGACAATGTATGGTGTCGTGCCAGCTTGTTTATTTCGAACAGAACATGTGCTCGCTCGCGTGTGCGCGCGTGTTAGGGTACGTCATTATAGGGTACGTCATTATAATTATATATTTTATTCTAAGTATGTGTGTGTGTGTGTGTGTGTGTGTGTGTGTGTGTGTGTGTGTGTGTGTGTGTGTGTGCGTGCGCGCGTGTGCGCGCGTGTTAGGGTACGTCATTATAGGGTACGTCATTATAATTATATATTTTATTCTAAGTATGTGTGTGTGTGTGTGTGTGTTTATGTGCCAGCTTGTTTATTTCGAACAGAACATGTGCTCGCTCGCGTGTGCGCGCGTGTTAGGGTACGTCATTATAGGGTACGTCATTATAATTATATATTTTATTCTATGTGTGTGTGTGTGTGTGTGTGCGCGCGCGCGCGCGTGCGTGCGTGTGTGTGTGTGTACGTGCGTGCGCGCGCGCGTGTGTGCGTGTGCGTGTGCCTGGGCGTGTGTTTGCGCGTCTGCCAATGCATGTGCGGGTGCGTGCGCGCGTGCTAGTGCTATTGCTAGTGCGTGTGCGGGTGCGTGCGCGCGTGCTAGTGCTAGTGGAGTAGTGCTAGTGCGTGTGCGGGTGCGTGCGCGCGTGCTAGTGCTAGTGGAGTAGTGCTAGTGCGTGTGCGTGTGCGTGCGTTTGCGCATGGAGGTGCGCCTCTGTATGTGCTTTGGTGTGCGCGCTCCCCGCGTATGTGTCGTTAATAAGGGTTATAACAATCTACAATCTACATAATTTCATGGGACATAAATCCCCTTGTCGATGCTTCCCCAAAATATGAATAATAACATAAAATTATCAAATTTGGGAATTTTAGATCATGTAGTACGATAAAATACTTATAGTTCGGTTGATAGCAAGAGTAGGCCTAAGAAGCTTGGTTTTTACCGCTAACGAACCCTTTTCAAGGCATTTCTTAAAGGAAGATGTAAAGACGGAATGTTCCTTTTAGCGATGTGTGAAATTTGATGACCACTGGTAATACTGTTGGGGAAAAAATCGGAGCTGAAAATACATTTCATAGATTAATTTGAATGTGATTGAATTGTGATGAAATTATTTATTTATTTAATTAATCAATCATATTTATTATAATGAATTCTTAATGTTAAATTAATTATTAGTTTTACTTAATTGTTTGCTTATTTTAGTTTTGCGAATTTGCACTTTTTTGAAAATACACTTTTCTACAGATATGGCCTGACACCTACGAATCTCTTGCATCACAGTTTCCAGAAAACCATCAGCCGATGAACCTAGCTAATTTAACCTGTGTAAGCCACACGAAACTTTTGTAACAGGGATAAGTTCTACATAGAGCTTGACCCTGGACCATAGAGCTTGAACTGGAATTATGGTGAGCCTACATTGGTGTGTCTAAGTCCTTCCTTTTTCCACACGGACACTATCCATCCATCCACCCATCCATCTATCCATCCGGGAATACTATCCATTTTCGATGGCGGCTGAAATATCCCCTTTATTTTTTTATAAATTAAAGGAGTGGATTACTGGATGACTACTTAGTATTTCGTCAATACCGTGCTGGTACGTATTTATGAATTATTTATTAACATAAAAGTGTTTTCTGTGTTCTCCCATTCTGCCTTTTTCCTTTTGGATAATTTCAAGCTATGGGCGCCATCTATTGCTCCACTCTATACGAGGAGCAACCTGCAGATGTGACTTCAGGAAAGCCTCCTTCTTTCCTAAAGTGGAACGCCTTAAATATCCACTGAAATGGTGACAGCTGAGAGTCTAAATGCCTTTAAGACTGCTTACTTACTGCCTCAATGGCATCAGGGCAGATTTTATGTAAATTTTTAAAATTTTTAATTTAACGTCTCCCGTTGGCAAAATCATCAGCATGTTGATGGTCAGCAGATGTCAGAGGAATCGTGTACCGGGAAGAAATACACATTTTTCTGGAAATAGCCGAACGATAGTAGGGTGCAACTTTGGGATTGCTCGGGTCCATAATACACATGTGTACACATGTATACGCATTGTGAACGCTAACACTAACCCTAACCCTAACTTTAACCTAACCCTAACCCTAAACAGAAAAATAAGAAAATAAAAAACAAAAAACAAAAACAGATGGGACTCGAACCAGCGACCTTCCAGACATAATCAGACCTTCCAGACATAATACACATGTGTACACATGTATACGCATTGTGAACCCTAACCCTAATCCTAATCCTATTCTAACTCTAACCCTAACCCTAAACAGAAAAATAAAAAAATAAAAAAAATAAAAAATAAACAGATGGGATTCGAACCAACATAACCAAATACCATTACATAAATAGGTATGTAAAATGAGTATTTCTCCCTGGTGTAATAATCATGTCAGAGTAGAAGTAGAAATAGTAGGTCTCAGGGGAGAGATAGTGAATATAAGTTGTGGATATAGAAATCAGTTAACCCTAACCCTAACCCTATCCCTAATTCTAAAATAAAACAAAATTAGCCAAAAATAATAAAAAATAAAATAAATAAAAGACAAAATTAGCCAATCAGAGCCGTTCCAGAGCCGTTATAGCTTTTCGGTAGTCTGGTTGGCACCAGTCTACACAAACGACGCGAAACTGCGCGTAGTAACCATAATACGCATGCGCGAAGTTGTGTTGCGATGACATCTGGAAACTCATGTTCTTAGAAATTGTAGTGATAACGGCGATTGTACCATAGTCTTATGGAAATCTTCATTCTATATCTATGATTGTACACAGTTTTACTCTGTATAATAACCTTGTATAAAACTTTGTATAATAAGAAAGCAGGATTAGGCGTTACCCGAAGCTGCACGGTATTTGCTTTGCTGCGGGTAGGATTGCTGAACAGCGCATGCGCCGATGTCACGCCACATAAGTAAACCACTAATGAAGTAAACACGTACTGTTGACGAGATCAGCTGATCGTAAGTGAACCATTTGAGAGACTGTTCCGTGTTCTATTAGTTACCCCTAAGCCATATCGTTTGGTGACGGGCGTGCCGTGAGTTGTTTACGGAAGAGAAACATTCGTCAAACGTGGCTTGGGAGGGAGACTCGAACCGTCACACACGTATCATGGAGTTTCTTAGATCCATCAGTCATCCGGAGGAAGTGTGTGCTTTGTTGCAATACAAATTTGGGAAAATCGGCTCTATCACCCCTAAAGTGAACGACGAACAGCCATGTCGGCTGACGGCAAGGATGTGTTATCATTTACTAAGCAAAACCAGCAGGAGCTTTTCGGCAGTTATCCAGGCGCTGGATGGGGAGCTACGGCACGCCGTCTGCATATTTTATCTAACCCTTCGCGCTCTCGACACAGTAGAAGATGACATGACGATACCAATAGACGTGAAGATGCCCATGCTAACGAACTTCTACCAACACCTGCACGAGCCTGGTTGGAAGTACACAGACAGCAGCGAGAAGGATAGCATCGTACTGGAGCAGTTTCCTTCGGTTGTCGAGGAATTCGGCAGGTTAGATGTACTGTATCAGGAAGTCATTACCTATGTGTGTAAGGAGATGGGACAAGGTATGGCAGGGTTTCTGCAGTGCAAAGTCGGCACGATAAAGGAATGGGACGAGTACTGTCACTTTGTTGCGGGACTTGTTGGGATCGGTCTGTCTCGTCTTTTCACCGCCTCCAGTCTCGAGACGCGCGTCGTGGGCGAGGACACGGCGCTGGCAAACTCGCTGGGATTATTTCTGCAGAAGACGAACATCATACGCGATTACCTGGAAGACACCGACGACGGCCGCGAGTTTTGGCCGCGGGAAATCTGGTCGAAGTACGCGGGAGCGCTCTCCGAGTTTAAGCGTGCTGATAAGCGTGAGAAAGGATTGGAGTGCCTGAACGAGTTGGTCACCAACGCTCTGCGACATGTTCCTGATGTGCTCGTCTACTTGTCCCGTCTACGCAACCAGAGCATCTTCAACTTCTGTGCAATTCCTCAGGTATACAAAATTGCTTACACATAGCTGTTTAAAGTGCGATTAACACCTATAGTAATGAATAATGTGACAAGTTTTATTCAATAAAATGTATTTTTTCACTTAAAAATTGCTTCTGGAGTTGGATTGGAAACTTCTGTTTTCAGGTAATGGCCATGGCAACGTTGGAGCGTTGTTATAGCAACCCAGCTGTGTTCACACGAGTGGTAAAGATCCGCAAGGGTGAGGCAGTGCGTCTCATGGTGGATGCGACAAGCATGGATGCCATCAACGCAATATTCGACAAATTTGCCAGGCTCATCGACTTGCGTGTGCCAATAAGGGATCCAAGTGCTGCTGAGACTCGCGTGTTGTGTGGCGCAGTACTGCAGCGAACCAGCCGAGCGCAGGCGACACACCTGGACAGCCATCCCCGCTTCTTGCCAGTCTACACCTCCTTCTTCCTGGTCATACTCGCCCTTGGTTGGGCGTATTGGATGGGGGCTCAAAACGTATATCACAAACTCACAGATTCTTTCTAGTTAGACACAACAGGACGTGAAGGAAATTAATTAGGGTCATCTTTATTTACTGTCGAATCAACGTCAAAACTATGTGAGTTGAATACATTATTGAAACTACATTATGTAAAAGTAGTTGGTGGCCTACCAATGTACACCTAATCTCTTTTTGAAAACAACAGTGCTGCAAAATATGTGTGAAGTATGGTGTTGATATCATCAGGAGTATATAATATAGATATAGATCTATATTATACACTCCTGATATGATGTAGTAGTTTCAGCCAAGCTCCACCCTCGATTCAACAGGACATAGGAAGGATAAATAAACTTGTGGGATTAGTAGTGAAATAAATATATGTATTATTTTATTCCTCCTTGGATGTATGTTTGCTGATAGCAGTGACATGAAATTCTTGCCATTTATGCACTTGAATATATCAGGAATTAATAAAAACAAAGGAGTATGCAAGGCTTAATTATTGGAAATTCAACATTCACTAGCCTTAATCTACGTATGATTTCTCACGTTTAATTAAATAAACATGAGCTCAAAATGTATCATAAACATTCATCTAGCTTCGATTATTCCGTATACACATTCACAATCCACAGATATACACTAAAATGTTCGTCATGAATGGTTTTCGAATCATTGCCGTTAATCCAATCATATAGTGCCACGCGCAGCATTTTCAATAAGTGGCTTGTTGGAAATGCAATGAGCAGCACTATAATGCTAATCACTATGATTGTTTTGAGGAAATCTATATTAACCGACCGTTATTCGAAGGGTAGTCGAACGTTATTAACCGAAAGTTGCTCGCAAACGTTTGATATCCTATTGCTTTGCACACCTTTTTATTCATTCCTGATTAAATATGTATATATTAGTAAGTAAAGGTACATATCATATGTAGGTGTCTGTGATAAATAACTGACATTCCGTAATTGGAACAGTTGAATCGTTTGGTGGTTTTGAGGGATAATTGCCACGTACCATTGTCAGAAGTAAAAATAATACGTGTATATATATACAAAGTTAAAACATGTGAATATGTCGCAAGACCCTGTGTACACATTAGGTGCACATAATTCTGGCATTTTGTTATTGGAGCTGCCAAAGTGCATGTGATTGGAGAAACTGTTGTTTTCATCACTGTAACTTATAATTTTGGGATAAATTGCTGTAGGTGGGTGAATTCAGCTGGAATTGCCACATCGTTTTGGTGAATTGTGTGTTTTTTTGTTTTGCCTGTTTTCTGTTGTTAATAAATACATGTCACATTTCCACCCATGTAGTCAAATTTGATACTCGAGGAAGGGGGAAAGGCCTAGAGAAATTACATCCAAACTATGCAGTACTCGAGGAATAGAAGTTCGAGTTTATTAATGCCTGACTATGCTCGGTTTCTTGTCAATCAATATCAGTACGATGAGAAATTTATGCCTGCTGTCAGCGATAAGTAAATGGTTATGCACGTACATTGAAGTGTATCCATGGACTTGTTGAACGTTCATATATTGATATATATTTCGTTGTTATGAGAAGAAGTAGCCAATCGGTTGTAATGGTTCTTGACTATGTGATTGAATTGCAATTATTTTTAGCTCATCTGACGAAGTCAGATGCAGCTTGTAGAATCGCATGATTGTTCGTGCGTCCGTCCGTCCATCTGTTCGTCCGTCCATCCGTCCGTGCGTGCATGCGTCAACAGTTGGGCACAAATCTTAACTGCTCGACGTACGGTCACGATATTTGGGACGTCGGGGGGGGGGATCGTGAAAAGGAATCAGGATGACAAATTTGTGGGGTCAAGGGTCAAAGGTCACAAATCTTAACAGCTCGACCTATGCTCTTAATATTCGGCGTATAGTGTGATGGACAGGAAACCCATCACCAGTGCGAAATTGGAGGTCACAGGTCAAAGGGCAGTGGGGGAAAAGTCGGATATCAGGCATTTTCTGAGGACATGGCCTAATGGACAGAGTGAAAAACTTTTTGTTTCAGCGCTGACCTACCATTTTTATCACTTTATTGAAAGGACCATGAAATGTGCTTTCCACTGCTGTGCGAAGAGTAAGTGTCTGATAACTTTTTGACCCTCAAGAGGAGGGTTAAACAGGGATTCCTGAACTGCCTCAATGATGTCAGTGTTCTCATATTCATGGCACATCTATAATCTAGAAAGCCAATAAACGTGGATAGCCGACAGGTAGAGCACAGGCGTCAAGGCTCAAAGGTCATTGGATCGAATCCCATCAGAATTTTCATTATTTACCTGTTTTCTGTATTTTTATATCTTTATCCATTTAACTATTTTTTTCCAATTAACGCAAATATTTACATGATTTATTTACAACAATTTAATAACAACAAATAATTTTTACAACAATTAATTTTTTTTTTTAAATATGGTTAGGGTCTAAATGCACCATAAAACAGGAGTTCCAGGCACGCGATTTGTATCAACCAATGGGATTTGGGAGGTATGCCGAATGCAGAAGGTTGCTGAAATGATGTGTACGCAACTGCGTATCTGCATATCTGCGCCTAACAAAGGTGTCACTACGCACGACTTAAATGTTACGTTTATAACCGTATAGCAACAGACCTCAGATGAGCCCAGACGCTCTGCGGCTCTTGTTTATATGAAAGCACACGTTGTGAGAGCAGTTCGTACATTATATGCTGCATCCTCCTTTAGTGTCATCCGGTTTTGCTTAACGGAACTGTACATATTAGGTTTAACACCCCGCAGCCCCATGTGACGTAATCGGTTAGTGTCGCACGCAAGTAACTTACGCGTGCGGAAATCTTTACAGACATGCAACGAGGTGAGGGTGCGCGCGCGTGTGTGCGTGTGTGTTATATGTGGCTGTGAAAAATACCGCATAACAATAATTTGTACGCACCATGTAATGTCACGTTTCGTGAAATTAAAACACATATTGCCCGCAGAAAATCAATATTTCCCTCTGAGCGGTGCTACCACCTAGTATAACGTACCCGTAGACGTATTCTAACGCAAAACCTCTGCCGAATTTCAATGTTACTGCCGAAGCTCAATAAAAATGTGTGCCTAGTGGTGCATGTGATACTGTCGGGATTTAAGTCAGATGCAGCTTGTATAATCGCATGAATGTCCGTCCGTCCGTCCGTCCGTGCGTCAACAGTTACGGCACAAATCTTAACCGCGCGACGTACGATCTTGATATTCGGAACGTCGGGGGGGGGGGATCGGTAAAAGGACTCAAGATGTCGAATTTGGGGGTCAAAAGTCAAGATGTGTCAATGGAGGGGGAATATTTCCTCCTTAACTTAAGGTATAGGAGGAAATACGGAATTGCGGCACAAATCTCAACGGCTCGACCTATGCTCTTAATATTCGATGTATAGTGTGATGGGGAGGAAACCCATCACTAGCGCGAAATTGGAGGTCACAGGTCAAAGGGCAGTGGGGGGAAGGTCAGATATCAGACGTTTTCTGAGGACATGGTCTAATGGACCGAGTGAAAAACTTTTTGTTTCAGCGCTGACCTACCATTTTTATCACTTTAACCTTGAAACAAAGTGTCTGATAACCTTTTGACCCTCAAGAGGAGGGTTAAACATGGATTTGTTGACTGTTAACAAATGACTGAACTGCTTTTGCTATTAGGCCCTATCACACTCAGTCGTATTTTCGTAGTATTTCTTACTTCAGATTTTTTATATAGGGGCCTACAAGCAATTCTTACGTGGTTGTTCGGGCAACAAGGAATTCTGTGCATCTCGAAAATCATTGTATATATCGGCATAATAGCAGAAAATATGTGCGTTTCTGCCACCAGGACGTTATAGTTGTGTAAGCAAAGTAGCCTTTCTTTTTATCCGTGTGATCGTGAGGTTTGCACTACAACACAAACATACGTTTTTTTTCTTTGATATTGAAGGGCTATATACGACCATGCTTATAATTTGGTGTTAGAAAGAAATTATTTATTTGCTACATCAATTACACAATACGTATATGACAGGCCAGAAACAAATGAAAAGAATCTTGGACCATCATGACATGTACACGACAAGCACTGCGTGTTTTCTACAGCGTGTAAATCTTTGCTCGTGTTATATCCGTATAGAAATACATACTTTATTTCCCATATCAGAAGTATAGCATCGTGTACTGTTATAATATTGGTAAACTGGACCACGGAAAGTAAAAACTCGATTTTAGATTGGTGTTGAAACTGCGTGCTTTCAGCCGAATGATCCTTACATGCAATTGATACATTATACAGATTGAAATGCTCTAAATATATTCAGTACTTTAATATAGTAGTATCAAGTGTTCTTATAAACGAATAACTTTCATAGCAGTTAATATAGGACATATAATCGTACTACCGGGTACTTTCTCTGCGAGTATAGAATGCGTTGATAATTAATAACAATAATTATTGATAATAATCGCAATAATAATAATAATATCGATATTTAGGTCATACTACAATACAGGTATGAAATATGACAAGTTTTACTTAATTTAATTGCTTAATATACATATCAATATACACAAGGTATTGTACCTCAACCACCTATTGCAACGACCAACATAAAAACTATTCTCTGCATTGAAACGTTACCCGTTGAGAGTTATATAATCCTCACCAATTATTACAATTTCTCATTGCGACCAAAACCTCTACGCATTTACATTCCTAGCATTATATGTAAAAGCAGGGATACTGACGCAGGTTATCACTTGATTTATCTCTTGCCCCGCTCGTGTATCCCGTTTCCATGTTGGTTTCGTAGCCGGTGTCGACGTGTCGTACTCCTTGCGCGAAAGATCCGGCGTCGCATCCGGTATAATGTAGAGGTCACCGCCGCCCAGCTGGTAGGTGAGTATGTCAGCTTCACTCTTCACCGTCTTCAGGCCTCATCAATTATTACAATTTTTCATTGCGACCAAAACCTCTACGCATTTACATTCCTAGCATTATATGTAAAAGCAGGGATACTGACGCAAGTGCTCTCTCACTTGATTTATCTCTGCTTCTAACATTTCAACTTGTAATGTTAGTCTAGTTTTCTCTCGTTCAAATTGATCCAAAGTAACCTAAAAAAAAATAAGAAAGCAGCGTATAGTACGTCTCATGGATGAGGATAGATACAATAATTTGTGTTCGCATATTTAGTTTTCGTATTGATCTGACTTTGAAGGTAATTATTATTACTATGTAATACCGTAGCCGCACCTCGGTTATTGTATGGGTCTGCTTTTTCCTCCTACGATAAAGCCGAGCTGCCTCTTTATTTTTTAGTTGTCTCCGTTCTCGTTTTCTGTCACTCTGTACTGGCGGAGGCTGTCGGGAAAAGACACAAAATTCTTGTTTATATAAATTTAAACAGATGCTGTGTATAAAATGTACATGGAAACCTACATGAATTTTCTCCAGGGCGACGAGTGGCTGTTCTATTCTATTCTATTCTATTCTATTCTAGAGGAAGCAGAAACACCCGTAATCTAGCGAGGTATCTTTACATCGTGGTTATAAATGGTCCGTGAACACCTAGAGGGAATCTTTATAATCAGAGATTAAAGGCTAAAACAATTGCTCTTAAAAATGCTTCTTACATACATATAGGTTAGTATCTGATCCCCGGAATTCAAAGAAGAACAAAGTCGTCTCCTAGTGTCTGACAAGGAACAATGGCAGTATAAACGTCATATGCAGCTCCATATTACAGAAATACATATTATCTACCCTCCGGGTTATGCACGAGAGCGCGAATCCTTAGGCCACAATAAAACTAGTCACATTGGCTCCTAGATAACTTTATTAATGAGTTAAGCTCATTGTAGGTCTCAATTCTAGCGTCTGGAGTCGCGCATATCTGGTGCTACTCGCTCGCACTGTCTTACATATATAGAGCAGATATTAAGAGAGAAATTCACAGAAACACACGTGCATTAGATACCTTTTGAATCCGTCCATTCATCACTCCAGTCAACTCAGTCTTTACATCTTGTGTTCTTGCATTGGTATTGAAAATTGGTGGTATTTCATAGAGGCACTGATTAGTGCTACTGCCGGCTCGCATGCCACCGTCGACAATAACAGAGACATCGAGTAGTGTGACATTAGCAGCGAGTTCCTCGTCGTTGTAGTTTAACACCTAGAATGTAAATAACATTCCGAACATGAATGCTCATGACCGTTGTGAAGCCGATTATCCCCTAAATTCCCAATCGAGCTGTTAGTTTATTGTCGTTCTATCCCTTCCCGCCGTTTCGCGCTCGC